CCCCTCTCTTGCCCCCCCTCCCCCCGCACCACCCTCCCGTCTCCCCCCCCCTCCATCCCTCGTCGCACTCAGTACTTGTCGGAAGTTTCTGGGAGCTGAGGCCGGGGGGGTTCCCCGGTTCTCCACCCCCTGTTCTGCCCTGAGGGTGGCACAACCCCTCCGTTCATCCTCCACGACCCCCAATCTTCACCCCACCTGTTGTCACAGCCCCCCATCCCCCCCGCAGGGCCCCCCCCAGGACCATGATCTCCCCGAAGGACAAAGCCAAGGCTCCCAAGGACAGCATGACGCTCCTGCCCTGCTTCTACTTCGTGGAGGTAGGTGTGGGGTGGGTGGGGGTCTGGGGTGGAGGTGGGTCACATCCTCCCCACCTTGCGATGCCACCACGCACTGAGCCCCTGCTATGCGTGGGGCTGTGCCATCACCCGTGTCCCCATGAGTGCACCAAATGGGACCTGGAGGGACTGAGGTGGGCAATGAGCCCTCCCTGCCCCCCCCCCTCCACCCACCCCACCCCACCAGCTGCCCATCGTGGCCTCCTCCATCGTGACGCTGTACTTCCTGGAGCTCACCGACCTCTTCAAGCCAGCCAAAGTGGGCTTCCAGTGCCACGACCGCGCGCTCTCCATGCCCTACGTGGAGAGCAGTGAGGAGCTCATCCCGTTGCTCATGCTGCTCAGCCTCGCCTTCGCCGCCCCTGCTGCCTCGGTGCGTCCCACACCACTACAGGGCCGGGTCCTGCTGCTTTTTGGGTTGCACTGAGCACGGTTCCCCCCTGTAGATTATGCTTGGGGAGGGTCTGGTGTACTGCCTGCAGTCTCGGTTGAAGGGCCGCGCCGGCACCGAAGGCAGCATCAACGCTGGTGGCTGCAACTTCAACTCCTTCCTGCGCCGCACCGTAAGGTTTGTGGGTACGTTGTGCCACCGCCTGACCCATGGCTTCAGGATTGGGGTGGGCGCATCAACCCTGCAGGTGGAATCCGAGCCCTTTGTGCCCCCCCATAGGTGTCCACGTTTTCGGGCTCTGCGCCACTGCGCTGGTGACCGATGTCATCCAGTTGGCCACCGGCTACCATGCGCCCTTCTTCCTGACCGTCTGCAAGCCCAACTACACCCTGCTGGGCACGCCCTGCGATGCCAACCCCTACATCACACAGGATATCTGCGCTGGCACCGACAAGCACGCCATCCTATCTGCCAGGTATGTGCCATAGGGCAGAGCGGTCCCGCGCCCTACAGCACGCTGCAGCTCAGCCCTGTGCTCTCCTGCAGGAAGACTTTCCCATCCCAGCACGCCACGCTGTCCGCCTTCGCCGCTGTCTATGTGTCGGTGAGTGTGGAACGCCACGTGGCTCCATGGCTGAGTCCACACGGCTGATGTTCTCCTCCTCTCCCTCCAGATGTACTTCAACTCCACCATCTCGGACAGCACCAAGCTCCTGAAGCCCATCCTGGTCTTCGCCTTCGCCATCGCCGCTGGTATCTGCGGGCTGACGCAGATCACGCAGTACCGCAGCCATCCCACTGATGTCTACGTGGGTTTCCTCATTGGCGCCGGCATCGCCGCGTACCTGGTGGGTTCCACAGGCCGGGGTTTTTGTGCTGTGTGCTGCCCTGCAGCCACACTAAACACAGTCCCCCACCCCACAGGCGTATCATGCAGTGGGCAACTTCCGTGCCCCCACTGAGAGAATCCCGATGCCAGCTCCAGCCAAGGATGCTCTCCGGGTGCTGACGCAGCGCGGCCACGACGCAGTGTACCAGCAGAACAAATCAGTGAGCACTGATGAACTGACCCCACGCCTGGAAGAGGAAGAGGCGGCCGTGCGCCCGGTGCCACGCGACAAGAACTCTCTGGGCAGCCTGAAACGCGCCAGCGTGGACGTGGATCTGCTGGCACCGCGCAGCCCCATGGCCAAGGAGAACATGGTGACCTTCAGCAACACGCTGCCACGCGTCAGCACGCCTTCCATGGAGGACGCCGCGCGTCGACACATGACCATCCACGTGCCGCTGGACGCCTCGCGCTCCAAGCAGCTCATCTCCGAGTGGAAGCAGAAGGCAATGGAAGGCCGTGGAGGGGCGGAGGAGGTGGAGGAGGAGGTGCCCCCGGCGCTGTACCCCACGGTTCAGGCTCGCCCTGAGCGCACGGCGTTGGGCCCAAGGGTTCTCCTCCCACCCCGTCCCGGCGCAGCGCCGTTGGTGCACATCCCCGAGGAGAGCGCGGCGGGCGGCGGCGGGGCCGTGAGAGCCAAATGGGTGATGGTGGCTGAAAAAAGCGCGCCTCGCACCGCCAACCCACCCCGTCTGATGCAGGTGATCGCCATGTCCAAACCGCAGAGCGCGGCCCCCAGCACCCCCAAGCATTCGGAAACCTCCTCGTCCTCCACCAGCTCCGACTCCTCGCAGTACCGCTCGCCCTCGGAGCGCGACAGCTCCAGCATCGTCACCATCGACGCTCACGCCCCTCACCACCCCGTGGTGCATCTCAACGCAGGGAACGGGCCCTGGGAGTGGAAGGCGGCCCCGAAAAGTGCTGAGGATGGCTACGAGCTGGGTGAGGTGGGGAAGGAATTTCGTGCCTTTCACCAGGCCAAGAGCGCCGGAGTTTCGCCCGGTTCCTCGCTGAGCGACGTGGAGCAGGAAGAGCCGCGGTACGGCAGCCTGGCGGCCATCCATGGGGCTGCAGGGGGTGCGGAGAGGGGGGATGTGGGTGAGGGGCTGCTGGGTGCTGCCAGCCGTGAGGCCACGCTGCGCAGGAAGGCGGCTGAGCGCGACGTGCTCACGGACTGCGATGCTGACAGCTTCTATAGGAAAATGCCAGCAGGGCGCAGGTTTAAGGATTGAGCCCACCCATCCCCCAACCCACCCCCCCCTTGGGTTTGGGCCCCCCCTAGGGGGTGTGGGCCCGAGCACTTTTGGACTTCAGTTTTTTCTCTCTAAAACAGGTGCTGATGTTTTGTTTGTTATTTTTTTTTGAGGGGGTGTTAATTTATTCGGATGATGGTATTGTAGGTGTGTGGGGTGGGGGAGCAGTCGGTGTTAAAAGGGCTTTGGGGAATGGCAGCACGTGGCTGTGTGTGGGAGCTGTGGGGCTCAG